TGGGGGTGCGGGATCGACACTTGGGGTGGCCCCTGGACTTACTGTTCTTGTTGTTGAAGGCCGACGCTGACAAGGCGTGCTCTATGTCTCTGAGCTTGATGTCCTCCCTCTGCCTCCCGCTTCTCCAGAAATCTAAAGCCACCTCGGTGATCCTCTCGGCCCCGGCATTGCTGCAAGGTCAGGGCAGTGAGTGAGGGCCCACAGGCCAGGCCCCGAGCTCTTCGGTCCCGTCTCGTCCCGCACGTACCTGAGGAATATGAAGATGGCTTTCTGATAGGAGACGCCATCCACGTGGTCGTAATAGTCCAGGAAGGGCTTGATGGCGTCTATGAGGCCCGCGTGCATCTTGTCCATCTCATCAAATATGAAGATGGACCTGGCGCAGGCACTCACGTTGCCGCGGACCCACAGCTGTAGCTGATCCTGAATGCGGGGGCGGGGGGGGGGAGGCACACACACAATAAATACAAAGTTCTCAGCAAGCGTAATTCTCACACCCAACCCGAGCACTATCAACACCACAACTGCCTCTAAGCGGCTGCATTTACCCAGCGCTCACCGTGCTCGCGCCTCTGTGCTAAGAACCTTACACTCACCAGCTCTTTTTCCTTTCCACAATCCCACTGTCACCCATTTTACAGAGGAGAAAACTGAGGCAGAGAGTGCTTAATCAACTTGCCCAAGACTATAAAATTACTGGGATCTGAACCCCACCCTGCTCGATTCCAAAGCCCCCCACCTAGATTATAGGCAATTCCCGGGCTGTGAGATGCCACCCCAAGGCTGCCGCACTGAGTTAGTTGCTGGTCCTTTGCCATTAAAATGGCAACGTCGACACATTTCCTGTGTATACCAGCCCTCCAGAAAGACAGCAGAGACCAAGAGACGATTCTGCCCTTCAGTCCTTAGAGCAGCCCTGAGCCGGTGCTAACTTTCCGATGGGGGAAGTAAGACACCTGCTTAAGTGAGGCGATGGAGCTGAGAGAACTCGCTTTGGCACGAGTCACTCGAGTTTCTGGAAGGCTGCCCGAAGGTGCTGCTTAAACAGAAAAAGTCCCTAAGAACATGTTCAGGTACTTAGAATAAATACTAAGCTCTCAAGATGAGGAGGAGGAAAGGCCTTGGAATCAGAAATTGGAGCTTGGGGGCTTTTCTAGATCCGCCCCCCACGCTGCTTCTGAGGAGACCCCGGAAGTTACAATGTAGGCGCCTGGCTGCCCCAACCCCGGTTACAATGTTGCATGGTGCTTATCCGACCCCAGCAATAATTCCAGGCCCACGGAGCCTCAGAGGGGGAACCAGGAGAGCACGGCCCCAGAGCTAGCCACTGTTCAGACAAGGACTTGCTCAGATCTGCGTGGCTCCAGCTGCCAAGGTTCCCCACTCTGCTACCCCGGTTTTCAGGCACTAACAGAGAACCCACTACAGGTCAGCCACTGTTCAAAGCACTGTTCACATGACATTTTATTGTGACCTCCCCAAAACCCATCAAAGTTGTGCACAATAGAACACTACTGCATTCCCTAGTTCACAGCTGAGAAAACTAAGAAACAGAGAGGTTAAGTAACTTGCCCAAAGTCACACAGCTAAGAAGTAGTGGAGCCTGAATGCTAACTAGGGTGACCAACTCGCCACATCCTGGAAACCATGTTCAGTCAAGCAAAAGAGGAGAATGTGTTTACATGGGGGAGGGCTAAATGCTGAGTGTCTTGCCACCTTGCAGGTCTGTTACACAGATTTAAAAAAGTGACAGTTAACACTTATTTGAACACTCATGTGCCAGGTACCATGAATTTTCATCACCCCATTTTACAGATGAAGAACCCAAGTCTCAGAGCAGTCAGGCAACTTTTGATGCAGCTGGTAGGTGTGAGAGTCAGGGCCCCAGGTGTGTCTGCCACCAAAGCCCAAGCTGTTAAGCAGTGACACAAAACAGTAAATGCAGTTTTCTGCACTACAGTTAAGCAAACTTAGGCCTCTCTAGACACACTTCCTCTTTTACAAAATGAGTTTGACTTGATGATCTTTAAGTTGGATTTGAACATGTCCATCTTTAAACTCCCATGACCCACTTACTAAAATGAGCACTGCACTGGGCCTGGTTTTGGAAACAACCAAGTTTGACAGTGTAACTGCTCCGTGCATCAAAAATCCTGTGTAACTTCTGCCCGTGGCCGTTTTCAGGGCTCACTTTATCAAGCAATTCCCAAATCCCACCCCACAACCAAGAAACCCCAAGCCGAGCACCACCCAGGAAGGATCGCGAACTCCTGCGCTTGCCTTATACAGCGTGATGTTGGAGGCGTGTGGAAAGTGCAGCGTGGCCACAAACAGGTGCACATAGTGGCTGTTCAGACCACCCTCGTAGATATTCTCCGCGATGATCTTGCTGGCAAAATTTTTGCCGGTGCCGGTCCACCCGTGTAGGGAGAGGGTGAGCGGTTTCTTGGGCTTCGGGTTGCTTATGAAGCCAGACAAGGCGTTTAAGATGACTCGCTTTGCAAGATGCTGTCCAAAGAGCTTGCTGTCCAGATCCTTCTCCAGCACTGGGGAAAACAGAGCCGGTCAGGGAGGCGGCCAGGGGCACGCCGCAGGCAAAGCGTAGCCTAGTCCACAGGCTCACGTGGAAGCCAGCAAAGCCAGCTAAGCTCCTCAAACGCCTTGGGAAGTGCAGAGGTATGTAAACACCTGGCCCAGGGTGGCAGGTGGGCCCCGGATGGCAGGTGGGCCCAGGGAGACAGGTGGGCCCGGGATGGTAGGTGGG